GTTGATCTTTGAAAATTATTACGTAGCAAAATGCTGTCGTCATTTCCGTAGCAATAAATAAGTGAATTTGTGTGTGTATGTACTTTTCTGTGGTAGTTTAAAGACCTTTATCAAGTCAGGGGCTAAGCTTGAACAAACAACAAAATAAGTAATAGGGCAAAAAAAAAAAAGAAGCTGTTGCTAACTTAATTTTTTTCTTGCTAGAAGAATTATATGAAAATAAAATTTTGACATAAAAATTAGTCGGTTTAACAAATTTTCTTTCAGGTTTATTATGCGATATACTTTGGTCAGATCCAGATCCAAATGTTGTTGGTTGGGCACCAAATCAACGTGGTGTCTCCTATGTATTCGGTTCTGATGTGTTGGGACAGTTTTTACATCGAATGGATTTGGATATTGTTGTTCGAGGGCATCAGGTTTTCAATTTCTTCTCATTCTTCCTTTTTTTTTTTCAACTTTCAATTTTCTGTTGGCTTCATCTGTTGCTTTTTCAAACAACAGTTGTTATTGGCATTCTGTACGGTTAACATTGATATAAGATTGATAAAATGAATCTGACCATTATTTTTTGTTGACGAGGGACTTAACTGATCTTTGGTTTGACATCATATTATGCAAATTTACGCAAACTAACTTTAGCTGTTTATTTACAAAGTTCTTCTTATTAGGTGGTTGAAGATGGCTATGAATTTTTTGGGCGACGTGGTTTGGTAACCATATTTTCGGCACCAAATTATTGTGGTGAATTTGATAATGCCGGTGCCGTGATGAATGTTGACGAAAATCTTTTATGCTCATTTCAGGTTAGAAATTTCTCTAAATTAAAGTTTTGTATAAATAAATAACAAACTGTACATGTATTGATATTATGGATTATTGTATTAGACGAACTGTTCGAACGATGCATGAAAACCATTGTTGCCTTTTGTTGTTGTATGAGGAACTTTAAAATTGCTGTTGTTATAGGTATATTTAAGAAATATGATGATTATTTGTTGCTAATCTTTTCCGATAATATAGATGTAGTTGTTGACAACTGTCTACTATTATTACAGATATTAAAGCCGTTGGTTGTGATGGACATGAAGGATCGTAATGGTACAGTGAATACAATAAATAAGCTGTCAATGTTGGAACCAAAAGTGACTCATCTGTTTCGGAGGGGAATGTTATGATCAAAAATTTGCTCTGCTAATATCAACAATGATCTTTACTAATCGTCATCACATTGTTGTCATCGTCGTCGTCATCGTCGACGTCGTTATGCTCGTCATCTTTATGATCAGCAACGTTAACATCGTTACAACGTCGTCGTCGTCGTCGCCGCCGCCGTCGTTTGTTTGTTTCAAAGGACAAATTGTTCAATGGAAGAGGGAAGAAAGCAGAAGAAAACTTACTAAAAAAAAGCTATTTTAGTTTTAATGTTTTAAAACTGGATAATAGTTGTATTTTTTTTTTTTTGACTTTTTATAGACAGTAGTTGTAAATGGGTATTCCTATAAATGGGTATTTGTTTTGCGGGATCATTTGCAGTAATTGTCGATCCCTTATTTTTCCTCTATTTTTTTTGTCATTTTTTTGTGTGTCGCGTGAAATTGGAGGAAAAACGGAGAAATGATTGAAGTAGGATGTTGGGAAGTCAAAATAATGATGATTAGTTAGCAGAAAACTGATAGATGGATTTAGTTTGATAGATAAAAGAAAATTACCAAAAAAAAA